GGCAAAGAGAAACCATCCAAATTTTGTTCTTTGTATTACTAACACAATTTAACCGTATCAGTTTGGCACGTGGTATTACTATTGTTCCTACTGTAGCAAGTTCTAGTTTTCCCAAGTCTTTCCCTGGAAAGACTTTCCCTATTCTGGAAATAAATTTATCATCTATTTTAAACACTCAATTAGAATGTTAATCTGTTGTTCAAATTATCCTCATAAATGCATGCCCCAGGTTGGTATGTTCACATAGCTCCTTTCCCATTTTAGGCTAAGCAGAAGACATGCACTCAGAGCTGTATTAAAGCAAAAGACAACTCCTCTTATTATCAAGAGAAACTGTGATCCTTCCATGTAGTGTCTGATAGAGAAAACATTGATTTTGATACATTATCTTATTTTATTCAAATACCAGTCTGATCACATATTGTCCAAAAACACTCAAATAACAAACCAAATACAGACAGATGTTAAAGATTGGTCTTCAAACATCATAACCAATGATGCCACGCTTGCCTATGATCTCGCCGACATAAAACCACATCCACACCTCAGTGGCCACCAAACCATTCAGCAGAGCTTCCTGAAAAAAGCAGCATAAATTTTAATGTACATTTTTTTCTTACATATTTAAAAGTATTCTCTTCCAGGAGTAAGCAACAGAATATAAGGATGCTATTCATTTAGAGGGCAATTTTAGCCCAAGTCAAGAATTACCGATGTTAACTTTGTTCAACTGCTGAGGACACTTGAACTTTCAATTATGTAAGGTAAATAGTCCAGAGCTTATAAATTCTTTCAAAGGGTTCTTTAAAGAGCTGAACTGACTTAACCCTTTCATTATTAGTTTATGAGACACTTTACGAGCCCTAAAACAACCCACATCCTGGAAAGAGCTGACACATTTAGACAGGGCATTCATATGAAAGGATAGGAAGGCAAGTCTCAGAACAGACAATTCTGTCTGGCCAAAGAGAGTTTGTTGAGAGTTGAAGAGCTTGGTCTTCCCCTTTATTCATTTATTATTTGGTTTAACTCTTTCCAAGTATTCAGTGAATATTCAGTTTCCCAGATCAATGTTGTACTGCCCAGAGAGCAAAAAAAGCACATGACTGGTTCCTAAAAGCAATGCTGCACGCAAGCAACCATGGATCTTGAAGCTCTAGTTGAAAAAAGTACTTTCCCACAACACAACTGGGCCCGTTCCTTTAAGTACCTGGATGTGAATTTTCATTTTCCCCTTCAAAAGAGACCAGAAATATTGGAAGTCTCCTGAAAAATAACGATTTTCCAGGATGTAGATTCTAAAGGCAGCAGTAATTTAGTTATTTAGGTTTTTTTGTATCCTGTGTTTGGCTCAAGCAAGCAAACATAAAATCCAAGCTCCAATTCTTACAGTCTTTAGATTTTATCTTAATGCAATTCAATAACCCTTCATGTTATGGGATGTGCTTGCTAGGTTTTGGTATTTTTATCTTCCATATGAGTGTTAGCCTCCTGATTGTGATATAGTCCAAGAGATCTTTTGGCTACACTGGGAATATTTCCAGGACTACAGATTGAAAAAAAGTATAGAATCAGCAAAGTAAGCCATCCTATTTCAGTATACTAACCAAAACAGGAGAGGGAAAAAAGGTGCCCCGTAAAAATGCTCACTTCTTTGTTATACGACTAATAGGAAACGAAGACATAAAATAGCTTGAATTATTTCAACCCAGATGACAAAATTAGAAAGGTAAATATCTTTCGCAGCAGTCAAGAAACAGATTATCTCTCATTATTTAGGTTTCGGCCTCACTGGAAAATACATGTATTAACCAAAACAATCAGAATAATCCCAAGGGAAGACATTTTCTGTTATGCACATACGTTTTCATTTAGCCTATAGTTACCTTAACTGTAAGTTGTTTGAAGCTACCAGTTTGAGCGCTCTTGACTATTTTTTTCAAGCTCTGAATAGCTGTAGGGATCTCAGCAGGGGTTGGAGGAACCAGCTCAACCTTGGCATAGTGCCAAAATGTGGCCAATCGAGGCTTCGAGTAAGTCACAGCAGCTGGAAAACAAAACAAAACAAAACAAAAAACCAGGATGAACTCACTAGAGACCGAAAGAAGCAGATGTGTGGGCTGGACACAAATATTTATTCATGCATCACATTCATTCACTGCTTGTACCAAATGTGCACCCGGTGTGAAAAGTCAAAGCTGCTCCCTGGTAACAAGAGGCTTTTAAAGATGCAGAACACCTGTGTCACAGGGACGCTCACTCAGGCAGGAAGCTAGAAACACATTCAATTATGCCACGACTTCGCTAGTGGCCAGCTAGTACTGTTACTTGATTTATGAACGGCAAACCTAGTTAACTGTAAAGCTACTAGAAGCTGGATCCAAAAGCAAGACAACAGCAGCAACGTGACCATTATTTTCTTGGCAAAGAGAGTAGAAAATTTGAAGGGAACGGGGCAGAAGAGGAGGGAAGGAGCTACACAGAACAGCATCCTTAAGAATAAGATTAAAACTTGTCACAACGTTGGCCACAAATCCAGATGGAATTATACCAATTAGGGCCCATTTTTGGTATCCTCATCAATATGTGAATTAAATCTTTAACAAAAGCCCAGCTGCTACTCCTTCAAAACGCCACCAATGACAATAAAACCTACAAGTATTGTTCAGAGTAGCCAAAACTCAAATCTATTACTATGCTGAAATTCCTCAAGGTATTTACGATTTCAGAGAAAAAAAAAATCCATTAATAACCAGGGTAGATGTGAAACTATGGTAGTCATTTCAGCGAGAAAGGCATTTTATAAAAAATGTCACAAGACAAACGTTAACAAGAACAGCACAAATGCATGAACATACATAAAGTGCCCACTATCGACAGATCGATTATCCAAGGTTCTTGGTACTTTTCCTATTATTAGCTTCCTGTATTTGGGTATTTCACTACTCTCAGAATTACTATCTGTATCATCCTTTGTGCTTAGAGCCATGGGTAAATCTTCAAGCAGACGCAAAGCTCTAACAGACAATTCTACAAAGAAGATGAGGCCATCAAAGAGTACAAAGTCTTGTGTGATTGTCTTTAAAACTATCCTCAACACACAGATATTTCATCTTTTAAAAAATTTTTTTATGCTTGAGAGAGAAAGGGTGTGAGTGAGCAAAGGGCAGAGAGAGAGGGAGAGAGAATCTCATGCAGACTCCACAGTTAGCATGGAGCCCAGAGCCCGGACCATGAGCTCATGAACCGTGCGATCCTGAGCCGAAGTCAGATGCTTAACCGACCGAGCCACCCAGGTGCCCCTCATTCTTTTTTTTTTGTTTTTTAAATCAGTACTCTGTACACAAACACTGTACTTTAGTTGGTAAACTTGTTTTTCAGGGAGTACAGATTAAAAAGTTTGAAACTGCTTTACATATATATAAGGAATAAAACATAAATAAATGATGGGCTCAGTCAGGTAAGTGTCTCTTGATTTCAGCTCTCACAGTTCGTTGGATTGAGCCCCACGCTGGGCTCCACACTGACAGTGCGGAGCCTGCTCGGGATTCTCTCTCGCCCTCTATCTCAGTGCCTGGATCTTAGTTTCAAAATACCATTGTCCAACAAAAGAAACTAGGGCTCCTTGGATAAATGGCTGATTCTAAGACTGGGGCAGGGAAAATGTAACATGAGGATCTTGTAGTACAAGTCAATGGGACAGATATGTTAACCTTGAAAGAGTTCTCAATGGCCAAGGCTGCAACAATTTGAACAAAATAAATAACATACTATTGGAGGCACTAAGTATGAAATAAATGTACAGGAGTCCATACAATAAATGGCTGAATAAACGGGGAAGGAGAACAAACCCTTCTCATAAAATTCCACTTAATTATATGTAAATACTCCTTCCCACAGGAGATGGAATCCCTGCTGTTGGCTGCTGCTCCTAGCCCCTGCCATGGGGTAGACTTAGTTACTTGTTCTGGAGAACAGGTTATGGGAAGAGAAAAACAGTAACTTTACAGTGGAGAAATCTAGTAACACTACCTTAACCAAATGATGAAAGTTAACTTCACCAGTGATGGATGTTACATGGGTATCATGTACATCCTGATATGTGATTAGGGCACTTGTGGCATTCTTTCTCAAAACCCATAGCTCCAGACTAATCGTAAGAAAAATACCAGACAAATCCGGACTGGGGAACTTTATAGCATACCTAGATAGATATCTACATAGACACCGTAAAGACTGTCAAGGTCATGAAAAGTAAGAAAAACTATTAAAGTCTCACATGCCAGAGGAAACTACAGAAATAACAATACAACGTGGAACCTGTACTGGCTCCTGGGACAGAAAGTGATTAATGGAAAAACTGATACAATCCAAATAAAGTTTCAAGTTTGGCAAATAGGAAAAAAACATTAGATTCTATGACTTCTCGGGAGAAGTCTTATTATAAAATTACTTTTATAAGCTTCTTTGTATCCTTATGGGAATTAACAGACATAGGTGTTTTGTTTATTTGTTTGTTTTTTTTTTAAAGTAAACTATGCCAAGCACGTGGCTTGAACTCGTGGCCCTGAGACCAAGAGTCACATGCTCTACTGACTGAACCACCCAGGCGCCCTTACAGACAGTAATATTTTTTAAGATTTTATTTTATTTTTGGGGCGCCTGGGTGGCGCAGTCGATTAAGCGTCCGACTTCGGCCAGGTCACGATCTCGCGGTCCGTGAGTTCGAGCCCTGTGTCGGGCTCTGGGCTGATGGCTAGGAGCCTGGAGCCTGTTTCCGATTCTGTGTCTCCCTCTCTCTCTGCCCCTCCCCCGTTCATGCTCTGTCTCGCTCTGTCTCTCTCTGTCCCAAAAATAAATAAACGTTAAAAAAGTTAAAAAAAAAAAAAAAAGATTTTATTTTATTTTTTAATTTTTTTTAGAGAGCGAGAGTGAGTAGGGGAGAGGGACAGAGAGAGAATCTCCAGCAGGCTCCACTCTCATCTTGGAGCCTTGATCTCACGGCCCTGGGATCATGACCTGAGCTGAAACGAAAAGTCAGATGCTCAACAACTGAGCCACCCTGGCGCCCCTTAAGATTTTATTTTTAAGTTATCTCTACACCCAACGTGGGGCTCAAACCCACAACTCCCGAGATCAAAAGTGCATGCTCCACCAACTGAGCCAGCCATGACCCCCAATTTTTATTTAATACTGAACATTCACATTTAACACACTGAAGTATATTACAAAGCAAAATATACTTCCATTATCTAACCTCCAGGTCCCAGCTGAGTTCTCTGAGTACTTTTGGAAGAATAACTGCTATCTTTCAATTACTCACACTAATAGAGGGAAGAGTTTAGTTCATAATAAAAAAATTTCTTGTATTACTTTTACTTTTGGATTTTATTTCTAAAATTCGTTTGCAATCGCACCACCTGAAAGATGTGAAAGCCAAGGTCGGGGGGGAAACAATCCACCTGAAACTTAAAAAATTTTGCTTCAAATCACCCACAAAGTCCAAAGGATGAAGCCACAATCCCCTCTTTTTCATTTATGTAAAATTGTATGGAACTTTATCACCAACAGTCATCACAACAGTTACTGAGATGATCTTAGTAACACTGGAAACTCAAGTTCTTTGGGAAAATGTGTCAATTAGTAGACTGCGAGGGGCTGTGTAGGAGGACAGAACCAAGCATTCTGGCAAGGCCTTCAAGAACTCATTGTTTGGCTGCTGATGGGAGGAAAGGAAGAAGTTGCATAAAAAGGTACCAATCACAGTAACAATGGTTCAAAAACATTACCTTTATTTAAAAAGTTTACCTCGCCTTGGAAATAAAATGAATGGCTTGCTACCCAGCAGACAACTGCAATTATTTCCCGACAGAAGACACTCCTACTCGGGACTGTCACTGTTCAGGATTGTTCTGAAATACAGCGGCCTTCCAGCGAGACTTCAGATTTATCAAACTGGAAAAACTCTTCCAATGTTAAGCTAGATAGTAAAGACTACTGTTTACAGACCTCCCTTTCTATATTTGTTGGAGCGGGGGTACTTGCCCACAAAGTCCAATTCCACCTAACATTTCCATTAAGGAAACATTTCCCAATCTGACCAGGACAGAAAGCAGTCAACGTCCCAAAGCACACGTATCCCTAAAGATTTATGTACACTTCCAGATACTCCATGCGAGAACCAGACAACCCGATGCGGCCGAATTTACGTTGCTTTCCCTCGTCTCTGCCCTCCTTTTCCCTCGCTCTGCTGCCAGGGCCATCCCTCCATATTCCCAACTCCTTGAGATCGAAGGGGGCGTAATGGCGGCAGTGCCGGGCGACTGCAGGCTTCCCGAACACCTCTTCCCTCCTACAGCGCCGTGGTTACAACTCAGGGATACTAGGCCGTGCCGAGAACCCAAGCTGCAGGACAGGCGAAAGGAAGGCTAGAGGAGTCGCAGACCGGCCCCTGCTTCCCACCCCCCAACCCCCAGCCCCGGCCGCCCCGCCCCGGTTCCTGCCGGC